TAAGGCTTCCCAGCACTTCGGACGAGTTATGCTGGATTTAGTTGTGTGAATTTGATCAGATGATATTTTAAGTCGTGTTGTTCATCAACTTCAAATTGTCCCCACAAAGCACTAATAGTGATATTTCTGGAATAAAACATCATGACAATATTATTTGAACTTTGCTAAAACACAACAAAAGCTTAGAAATTTACATCACATAGGCCATTGTGTCTGTGCTGTCTCTTTGAAAGAGCAATCAATTTAGTCTCAATTATTTGGCCATACTTAATGAATTTTAGATATCTATCTTATTCCCCTTCAAAAGCTAATCTAGGTCCTGCCTTGACCATTACACGCAACAAGGCAACCACAACAACTTGCATTTATGTAGTGCACTTCATGTGGATAGCGTTTCGGAGTACTTAACAGTGGTGTGACTTGACTCTGAAGTGGAAGTGGGGGGAGCTGACTGAAGGCATGGTGACAGAGGAAAGTCTTCAGGTATGATTTGAAGACAGGCAAAGAAGGGGCAAAATGGAGAGAATGAGGCAAGGAGTTCCAGAGATTTGGGGCTTGGTGACTGAAAGTGACCAATTGTGGAGTGGAGGAGCCATGCCAGCTGAGAGAAGGTATCAGGTAGAGGAGTCAGTGTGAGCAGACATTCCACATCCTAACAACGTTCTGAGTAAAAATATTCTTCTTCATCTCCCTCTTCTCTAACTTGTTAAATATCTTAAAACTGATGTCCTCCAGTCACTGACTCATTGACCAGCGAATCACTTCTTTTATCTCATTTTTCATATTACACCGTTATACAGTGGTGTTATAGTTCTGTGATTGACAAGTATTCTGCAAGCAATTATCCTGACTGAATGGATGAATGAGCACTTGCATTATGAGTTAAAATATTTAGATCAATATAACAGTGTAGAAGAACATAAAGCCCACAACTGGACAGCTTTTAGCCCATCAAGATTGCTTCTTTCACAATCTACGCAAAAATCAACAAAAAATTGCATTCATTTAGGGCCCTTCACATTGGGTGCACTTCCCAAAGTGCTGGCAGTGAGGGGTTTGTACCTGAGCTGTGGATAAATCGTATCCTTTAGCCCCCTCCCTCTTCCACACCCACTCTTTCTCCTGGGAGAAAACTCACCATAAAGACTCCTTGAACCCTAATGCCAATTGAGAACAACATAGTGCATTTATAGCACCTTTCATGCAGGAGAAAATCCCTGCTTTATGTGAATGGTGTAGTCTGAGTGGACAGAAGAGTGAGTTGGGCAATGTGACTGAAGGCACAGTCAAAGAGGTATTATAGAAGGACTTTCAAGACTGGGACAAAGGAGTGAAAATTCCACAATATCCTCACACCTTTATTATTCAAGCTTGATCTCCTTGCCTCCTTGGATAATTCTCCCACATTGTCTCCTCACTCTTTCCCATTCCCCCTCCCCTCCCATTCTCGTCCAGGAGCACAGAAATCATTTGAACCTCTACCAATCCCTTTTATCCGCCAATGTTGTTCCTCGCCAGCTACCGTTCACCTGGAAATATAGTCACTACACTTCACAATGTATTTTATAAAGCACTTTGAGATATCTTCCCGATGTGGAAAGTGCTTATTCAAATGTAAGGACTATTATAAAAGGGACTGAAACAATTTTGTTTGGGGGGGAATTAATCAACTGCTTTTGTTGGCACATTCACAACTCTGTGGGAGGAAACAAAATTTTCTAATTTTGATTTGCTCGAGGAAGAAACAATGTGTTGCTTGGTTAGGGGTATATGGGTGTGTTGGTTATAAATGATTGTACTTCCGTAAAAAAGTAGCGCAGCATAGAACGTTCAAAAATACAGCTGTTGGAACGTGGAATTGCAGTGCTTGCTTGCCAAGGTTTGTGAGAGCTTCCTGTTAATCTATCTCTTACCTCTAAGAGCAGGATTTGAATGCAAGCCAGACTGATGAGGGAATGTACCAGTTGGAGATCAGTGACACACTTGGATTTTCTTTGTTTGTTTAGTGAAGGATGGCCACGCTGTTGAGGACCATCCTATAATTTTGCTGTACTAAGTAGTGGAGGCATTGCACACAAGATAATGATGAGGTTTAGATGAAAAAACTCTTTGACCTTTTAGAACTCTCCCTGAGTTCAGCTACAAATACACAATCACTGCACATTTTAGTAAATCCCGCAGGTCATAACTAAACCTGCCCAGGATACAGCTGCAGGTTTGGGCAAAGGCGCCCCCCCCTCCCCAACCACCACTAGCAAACTACTACTTTGATTCTGAACAAGGTTTTCCCTTGTGCCTTTCTCCCAAAGCAGTTGGTGGTTTTACATTAAAGTCTGACGACCTGCAGAGAAGAGGCAGCACGTTTCCCTCTTCGAATGTTGGTGTCTGAGCTCCTGTTGCCTCCACAGTCAATAGTTTCCATCACTGGAATGAAACTAGCCAAAATCGGAGAATAAGGATGTACTGAAGTTCACTACATGTGGGGGGAATGAAACGCTGGAAATCCAGCTGTTTCCAAATGTAAACATGACAGACAGATGAGAGAGTGGAGCTCCAGTGTTGGGGCCTCCCAGGTTCCATAATATAAAAGTGGTATTTAAGTGAATACCAGAGAGGAGCCCAGTCTCTACCGATTGTATTTAGACTGTGAGGTAAGCGTTCATACTCTTTAACACCTCTTCAGGCCACAGAAAATCGATCCACAGTTTATTATTGCAGCCACTAGCTATTAAGAACTGACATTAATTTGTGTTCTTACCATTTGTCTTCAATTTCCCTACCAGTGATTGCGTTTCCACACACTGCAGAGCTTGCGATAGATTTTCAATACAGGAATCGCGAATGCCTTACTTGCCGGCTGGAGCACAGAAAAATATATAATAGTAACATATGTATAGCACCTTTCACTTAGAATAATGGCTTGGAGCACTTTACAGTGTTGGGAGAGGACATTGAGCAGAGTGGAGGGGAAGGTGACTCTAGGTGCGATTCAAGAGATAGCTTTTAATGGCAACTTACCCAGTAGGTGGGTATCATCTCAGAGCTTGTGGCTGAAACAGGAGAGGGTAGGTTAAAGAAGAAAGTCTTCAGATGTGATCTGAAGAAGGGCAAGGCGGAGGGAAATTAAGTTATTTTTAGGTGGAGCCATTGAAAGGCCATTCACCATACCCCAGTTTGTGCCCTATTTATTGAAGGTGATTAAATTGAAGAATGTATTCATATTCTATTCATTGAACATTTTTCTTATCTGTGTCCGAGTTTGCTCTAGAATTTGCTCCTTTGATGGAGCACAGGCTCTGGTGTTGATCATGCGTAAGGTTTCTGATTTTTTTTAAAACAGCATCCCCCTCACCGGTAAACCTTGATTAAAATAAAATGAATTCAGCGTTTATCCCAAAACCCCAGAAAACACTGTATATGGTTATCAGTCCTGATGTCAAGTGTTCATGCATTATTCTCTTTCTCTCCCCTCCGTGTGCACAGGCGCGTCTGGTGATGTGAAATCCACAATACAAATTTAAGTTGTTGTTTGTGAGAGGAGAGAGGCACTGCTCTTGCGTGAACCCTTGACTGTCTGGTGCCTTGTGACGTCATCCAGGAATGAAAAGCGCTATATAAATGCAAGTTGTTGTTGTTATGAAGGCACATCTCTCCCGTCCATGTGTGCAGGCGTGTCTAAATCATCTTCTCATCACGAGTGAAAGCCCCCAAACCCTCTGATTTTTTGACAAGTCCAAAAAGTGCTGAAAATAAAATGAAATTATTTAAACCCTAATAAACAGAAGCCCTCATCATCGGTAAATCTGAGTGTAAATGCCCCAAATGATGTGGTGCAAGTTGGAGGTCCCCAAGTTTCAACGCAGATCTGTGCTGAGTTCACTGAATTTTGCCAGACTAAGAAAAGGCTGTACAATTGATCTCGATATCCCTGAGCTACAGAGGGACTGAGCCAGGGCTCCCATGTCTCATCTCTATCCACTGGCTGGAAAATTGTGGGTTGACTGAGGACAGCATTGGGCTGCAATGCTCTCTCGCTTGAGCAGCTGGTGCTGCTTGCAGACAGAGAAAGTTGAGTAAGACACCCAGAGAGTTGGCATCATCCATGCAAATGTACCTCAATGCATGACCTGACCATTGGTTGAGGAAGTAGGTCAATGTCGATATGTATAGACCAGAAATTATTCACAAGCAGTCTTTCTCATTGTTCTTTGCACTGTCACACCCCCTCCGCCTGTCTGATTCTATCATTTGAATTGCTGGATTAAAAGTTGCGATGGTGTGAAGGAATATCCTAGCTGCGGCTGAGAGCAAAAGGATATTCCTGATGTTCTGCTCTGTCCCTCCTGCCAGAAACCCACAGGAGATACCTGTGGTTCGTGACGTTAATGTTTTTTCTCAGTTGGACACAATCCCAAAAGTGGAGCACGATGCCAAGTGACCTTTCATTTTAGCTGTAATTTGTAATTAGGGTAACGTTCTCCTGTATGCTTTGAGCTCCACAGGGACCTCTGAGGTGTGACACTTTAACTACAGTTTGAAACCTCATCAGCCACATCTTCCAATTTCTTGGCATCAGGTCAATTTCAGAAATCAAAATTAACTAACCTTTGCTGTCTGTGTAGCCAACGTTTCTTGGGAGTCCTGTAGCTTAGTGGTTGGAGCACTCGCCTCTCAAGCGAGAGGTTATGGGTTTGATTCCCGGGCAGGGCGAAATGATGGGCAAGTTTCCTTATTCCACACACCTCTGTTTACCTAGCAGTAAGTAGGAATCCAGTTGTTAGTCGTTTGGTGGATCGCTTTTCCGGGGGTAATAATCCCTTCAAAATAATAACAATCATAATTTGGTCACTCAATCCACAAATGTTTGTGGGACACTGCTGTGCGTAACTGGCTGCCACATTTCGCGCACAAAATATACAGTGAATTCACTTTACAGTATATTCTGTGAAGCGCTTTGAGACGTTTTGAAGACGTAGTAAAGTGCTATATCAAATGCAAGGATTATTATTATTTATTAGTACTTAGAAAAACTGCATTACAGCAATTAAACCTGGAGAAAGCACAGGATTGAGCCATCTTAACATAAATTCAAATGGGGGCAAACATTTTTCATTTAGTTACTGACTTCAACGTACATTCATTCATTACATCTTTTTTGATTGTAACCTTCACTGGATGCATTGTTGTCAGATCTGTGGAGATTGGAAGGGTTTGGCTGGATAACTGTTTGGCTCACTGATTTCATTCATTTTAGACTATTAAGCTTTTTGGTCATAAATCTTTTCATCTGAAATGAAAAAGCTTTCTATAGACTGTATTTTTAAATTATGTTAATTTTCAGAATTTGTTCTTTAGTAGATGTAAAAAGAAAAATGCAGAAGGAGGAGAATTCTACGGTCAAAATAATTCCCTGGATGTAGAAGAAACCAGGCTCTTTTACCCGGTAGTGAAGAATCCTCACTTTTCCATAGCAACTTGCACTTATAGATCTTTCAGCCATTCTGCCCCCGATCTCTGGAAATCCATCCCGGAGCCCCTCTGCCTTGTCCCTTCAAAACCCACTGTAAGACTTTTCACTTTGTGATCTTCTCGTTGCTTCTTCAGTTCTCCAGCCCCAGCTCGGGCTCACAGCCAGCCATGTGAAGTGTTGTGTGATGTGGCCCAGACGTGGATATACATGTGAAACTTTGCTATCTTTCACATTGGATTGCTGAGCGGAGGAGGGAGATAGGTGAAAGCATTACAGAAAAAACAGACCTAATCTATTGTTTACTTATCTACATACGTGATGGGAAATGTAACAAATCACACGAGATGTGCAGATAAGCGTAGCAAAGCCCTCTACCACTCCAATCCTTTCTTCCACTTGAGTGCCATTTATGGCTTTCTTCCAGTGTTGCTTTCCCAGGATTATGCAGCTCTGAATTGAGTGCTATCTGCATTGTATGTTGCTTGGCTCCTCCCTGTCTATGTTGCGAACTCCAGGGTAGGAGGAGGTGAGTGCCAGCCATTGTAGGATTCTTCTTGATGGGAAATCTACACTTAAATAATATTTTATTCCTCTCTGTATTGGGGGGAGAGGATTCATTTTCTTTCCAGTCAAGCATTTAATACTAAACATAATTGCAGTTAAAACACGGATGAAGGATTTTATAATTAAAAGTAGAATGCAAAAAATTGGGGAAGTTATGAGAAAGTGTTAACGTGAGAAAGATTAGTCTGATAACGTCCTATTGTCTTAAAAGTGAGATTAGGCAATGGATTTACAATATTCAACATGGTGAGTGCTGGAGCATTGAAGGAAACCGCAGGCATGAATGAGGATCAGATTGTAAATGTTTTGAGAGTCTGTTGTAGGAGTGACTGGAAAAGGCTTTTTTGTGGGTTTGAACGGTGGATCAGGTAGCTTGTACATCTAGAGTGGTTCAGTTCCTGTCACAAAAGATATGTGTACAGAAAAACTACAGAATCAGTTTTCTTGTTTGTAATATCTTTTCCTACCTTCCTCCTCTGTTCAGCTGAATCAGGCTTGCTGTACATACCCTGCCACCATCTGTAGCCAAGCCTTCATTCCTACACAAGGATGACCATATTTTGTAAAACAAATCTGGGGACACAAGTAAAAAATATTTAACTCACCACAATTCCTTACGCTGGCAGTACTGAAGAAGCTTATTGGATTCATGGCTGTATTTCTCTGATGAGTGCGTCGGTTTTAGAATGTTGTTGTTCCACCTCAGTTTGTTACTGAAATCAAGATAGAGCATTTTTGGCAAGGACATGTAATCTTATCCGGGTACTGTCTCGGATAAGACAAGAACATCCGGAACTTACTCCCTTTACCACTCGGTCTTGCCTCCACTCTTACTGTCCTGCCTCGAATCCATTCCTATGGCCACCTTCCCCCTCTCTTGCTTGGCATCCAACCGCTTCATTGTACAGCACTCCAAGATGTTACTCTACGTCAAAGGTGCTATATAACTGTTGTAGATCAGCGCTAGAAGGGGAATTGATTAAAAAGGGCAAACTTAAAAGAAATCAGGGTAAGGGCAGCAACAAGCAGGCTTGGCCAAGCTGCCAGCTGCTGTGATGAAAATGTCTACATTTCTATTCTACTTTACGAACAATAGTTTTATTTATTCTATCTTAGTCTGTTGTGTTTCTGACCTATGACTGGAAAGTTCTGGGTTCAAATCTCAGTGGGGTTTACTTCAGGCCTTCCCCTTTATGGGGTCAATTAAATGAATATCATGCCTAAAATATATATAAATATCCTCCTGGGAGGAGAGGACTTAAGTGGTGTCTTCCTATAGCTGGCTCTTAGTTGTTGAGCCTGGCAAAGCCAGACCAGACCTGCAGTAATCCAAAACAGATGCGAAGATACAGAAACTCTTAACAACCTTACTAACCAATGCCCTGATTGTTTGGCTAGTCATTGACTGGATCTGCACCATGCTGTGCTGGTACCTTATCTAACAAAGATCATTGTTGAGAGGAAATCCTCGTTTAATAAAACTGACTAAATGACATACCAATAAAATAATGTACAGGTTGCAAAAGAAACTCCTCAGTAAAAGCAAGTGATTGGATTGATTGACAATGGTCAGCCTATGTTAAATGCTTCAGTCCTGTCTCCTCTACGAGTGCTTGGCAACTAGAATGAAACATTAAACCATGTCTAATTCACATAATTTCTGTGTTATTTTGTGTGATGGTGGAGTTCCTGCCTTACCTGCTCCTTGCTGTTGTAGAGTAGTAATGCCAAGGTATGATCGAGATGCTATACTTTCTGGTTGTCATTAAGATTGTGCACACTATCTAGTATCTGACGGCTATTTATGTAATTTCAGTGCCACGTAGAAACGTGGAAGAGTGGGGGAAAGTTAAGAACCTCATCAATCGCATGTCCCGACAATTAACAGCTAAACACTGACATGCTCACAAGTGCCAATTTTAGGTTTTGAAAGGCATTGGCTGGGTACAGTGAAAAGCAATCTCTTGGCAGAACCTCAAGGACGTGTTTTATCTGTCCTTGTGGTGCATGGTGATACAAGTATCAGAGTAATGAGCTACACACCGGGGAGCAGAAATATGTTTGAAGATTTTTTTCCCCATGTCTGTCCCCAGATGCTGTTTTTTTTATTCTCATCTTCCAGCGTTCCAATAAGAGTGAAGGGCATCCACAAATCGTCCGAAACAACTGTCTCTAAATCTTCCCCCTAAATTCAAACTGTTTGTCAAAATGAGTTGACTGGTTAAAAAAAATGGGAGTACATTGGAGATTTCATATAAAAATAATTTATTGCATCAATTTAAAATGTGAGAAAGCAGCTTTTAGAAATTATGGATAGTATTATGTTTGGACATGAATTTATAGACTTAATTATTTGTATTCAAATAATTATGCCTTCATAAATCTTGCAGGATGATTCTCTTAAGCTGGTCAAGATTTGTGAGGCGCTGATGTATTAAAGAGTGAAGTTTTTCTAACTCTGTTTCTAAAGAGTGCTGGAGGCATTGTTGTGAAGAATGCAATGCAACAGATGAAGCTGCAGATGGTTACAATACCCACAGATCTATTTAATCAATTAACAATGTTCTTGCACAGATTGGCTGCTGTCTTTCTTTTAATGCAACTGGGAGCTGGTATGACTCGTTTCGTTCAGGGTTTCAGGGTTTAAACTTTTTTTTCAGATGTACAAAGTACACAGTCACTACACTTTATCCTGTGAAGCGCTTTGAGATATCCTGGTGTGAAAGGCACTGTATCAGAAATCACAGAGATTCCATCCTGTGTGAAGGGTGCTGTCTAAATTTGCAAGTTGTTGTTCTTGTTTCTTGTATATTAAATATAGGCTAATTTTGTTTTCGCACTGCTTTTTCAACTAGACCTGTGTGTTTTGTATTTGTTTTTGCCATGTTTTAACCCAGGAGGCAGATAGAACAAACTCGCTTGGATGTTTACTTCTTAAAACAAATGTAACCCATAGTTTATATTTGCTCAACAAGCAGAGTTCCCAGTACAACCTAGTTGGCGTCATTTTGATCAGTATCTAGCTATCACAAGGCATTTTGTAAATAATGCTTTTGAAACATGAACTACAATGTGGAAATTTAGATGAATGTTGGGTTTGTTGCTTTTTCCAGTGATGGGGTTTAATTTGTGGTATTAGATAAGAAGATAATAATCCCTCAAAAAAAACAATAATAAAATTGGTCACTTCAATCCACGACTGTTTGTGGGACACTGCTGTGCACAATTGGCTGCCACGTTTCACCCACAAATAGACAGTCGATTCACTTTGCAGTATATTCTGTGAAGCGCTTTGAGACGTCTAGAAGACGTGAAAAGCGCCATATCAGAAGCAAGGATTATTATAATATAAGTTATCATTGAATTTCTGAAACATTGTACGTGTTAAAGAATACACATTTGATATTCTTAGAAAGTTTAGAATTACACATTTCTTAAGAAATCTGTTAAGAAATACTACACAATAGTCAGTTATAATAATGGTAATCCTTACATTTGATATGGCATGTGTCACATCGGCAGAACATCTCTTCACTTCACATTTGGTAGCTTCCATGTTTTTGCATTAGAAAATTATGCATTCAGTCTTATTTATAGGACCATAGATGTCAGTCTGGCTCAGTTGGTAACATTCTCACCTCTCGCGAGATGAAAGGCGCAATAGAAGTGTAATTTTGTTACTGTTGAGTTAGAAGATTGTTGTTTCAAGCCCTACATTGGGACTTTGAGACTCTTTGCCTTGGCTGACACTCCAGTGCAGTCTTGGAAGAGTGTTGCATTGATGAAAGTAGTGGCTTTTTGATGAGATATTAAATCTGTTCGGGTGGACATCACAAGTCCCATGGTTCAATTCAAAAAGAGAAGGGAATTTCTCCTAGAATTTGGCAAACGATCCCCCAGGTAAAATTGGTCATTCACTTCATAGGACATTGCTAAGTGCAAATTGGCTGCCACATTGGCAGCCACCATTGAAAATAAACAATCACTATGCTTTACAGCAAATCTTGTGAAGTACTTGTGACTTTCGATGAGGTAAGGTGCTATATCAAATGCAGGTATTATGATTCTAAGGAATTAAACTTCTAATCTACATTGATGTTCCAGTACTGTCCTGAGGTAAGGCTGCATTGCTGAAGGTGCAGTGTTTTACTTCAGGTGGGAGTATTCTAACATAGACGGGGACAGCAGACTCCTGCTGTGGGACTCCGCCATCTTTAGCTCGGACAAAGAAACTGTAAAAGTTGTTTTCCGGACCAAAGAGATTTTCTTTGGTGATGACCCCAGAAAATGAATCGATTTCCAGATTTTCTTCAACATTGTCAGAATCTGCCTCAATAAAATAGACAATTGTCCCCAACTCCTCCCTCGGCATCAGACGCCACAATCTGAATGACTGAAGATCCCTTTGAAGCATATAAACTGATATTTACCTTACACTCTGCAGCTCAGAACTGAAGCACATTATCATTTTCATCAGCGAAGATCACATTGATATTACAGAAAGCCATCTTGCCACCACCATCTAACCTGGTGTTAGTTGGTTGGCGGATTGCTTTTCCGGGGATAATAATTCTTTAAAAAAACCTATAGTAATTTGGTCACTCATTCCACAACTGTTTGTCGGACACTGTTGTGCACAATTGGCTGCTGAGTTTCATCCACAAGTATACAGACAGTCAATTCACTTTCCAGTATATTCTGTGAAGCACTTTGAGATGTCTAGAAGACGTGAAAAGCGCTATATCAAATGCAAGGATTATTATTGTTTTCTCTTCCTAAATCTCTCTAATTTCATTGATTTTATACAAATGTATAAAAGATTATACACCACAAATGGATGACACTTTACATCGGTCAGTGTTAAATTTCTATTGCATGTACCTTACCCAATTATAAAGCTAAACTAGATCCCACTGCTCTCAAAATCAATGGATAGCTCGCTGCCTAAAGAGCTCACATCTCCTCTGCTGTTCCCATTATGGCTTGTAGAGAGGGGTGAGCAATTTGAGCCTTTCTTGATGTGATTAGGTGCTATATCAAATACAAGGATTATTATTATTATTATTATTATATTATTATTATTATATTATTATATTATATTATTATTATTATAGAATAAATGCTTCAAAATGTTTGACTATATAAAGAAGATCACGAAATAGGAAAGTTTAAGGATGTTGACCAAAGACGTAATCGAATAGTTATATTTTCAAGACAAGATGAGAGAAAGGAACACAATAATATTTTGGAAGCAAATTCAAGAGGCTGGTGATTAAAGGGTACGCCAACGATCATTGAATGGAAGGAGTGGGTAGCAAGCAGTATACCAGAATGGAAAGAGAATAGAGCTGGAAGAAATTGCATTGGTGAAGGGGGAAGGATTTAGAGGTCAGGTTCAGGATGTGAAAGTGACCTGTGGAATTACTGGGAAGCATTAGGTCATTGTCTGTTGCAGCACAATGATTTCCTTAATACAATTAGCACTGGGGATAATGCCTGTAGTTAATTAATGAGCAGTCTAGTTCAATCAGTTCTATTTAACACGTAGCAGTAAGAACATGAATGTGGCTGAATGTTTGTTACGTGTTGCGTAAATGGTGGTTTGTTTGTTGCCATGTGTCATCCTCTGCACAGTAACTGTTGACGTGATAAGTCTATATATACACGACTGTTGAGAATATGAAAAAAGCTCTTCTTGGCATACAAGTTTGTGAGAGGAACAATAACACCAACAAAATTACATTTGTAAAGTGCATTTGTAAAGAGGAGGACGTCCCAAGGCGCTGGACAGTCAGTGTATCGTCCGGTCTACAACGCAATCTCTGAGCTGGGGGTCGGGATTGGGGAGGTTGGAGGGCAGGGGGGGAAGGCGGGTGATCGAAAGTACTGTCAAAGAAGAGGGTCTTGAGATGCGTCTTGAAGGAGGCAAGGGAGAGGGCGAGGCGGAGGGACTGTGGGATGGAGTTCCAGAGAGTGGGGGCAGAGTGGCAGAAGGCCCGCTCGTCAGTGGTGGGGCGGGCAAATCGGGAGACGTGTAGCAGGCTGGAGCCCGCTGAGTGGAGGGAGCAGGCAAGTTGGTAGGGGGTTAGGAGGTCACAGAGGTAGGTGGGAGCAAGGCCACGGAGGGCTTTGAAGGTGAGGACCAGGATCTTGAACTGTATCCTCTGTGTGATGGGAAACCAGTGGAGTAAGGAGAGGATTGGGGGTGATAGGGTCACGGAGCCTGGTGTGGGAGAGGACTCGGGCTGCAGAGTTCTGGGTGATCTGGAGGGGGAGTTGGGGAGGCTGACAAGCAGGGAGTTTGCATAGTCAAGCCTGGATGTTATGAATGCGTGTATTAGGGTTTTGGCGGCCTGTGGTGTGAGAGATTGGCGGAGCCGGGCGATGTTGCGGAGGTGGAGGAAGGTAGAGCGGGTCATGGCACAGATGTGGGCTAAAAAGAATAGTTGAGGATCAGAGCTTAACACTTTCAAAGTTACATTTTGCTCTTCTGCAAAGCACAAATGAAATGCAGATTTTATTTGGGCATTGCAGACCGGATGATACCCAGCTAGGGTGCAAACCCTTCACCGTCCAGTGCCTTGGGAGGTCCTAAATGAAATTTGTTGTTGGATTGGCTCATTGATGAAGAAAGCTCTTATATTTATTGAAAGAGAGAATTGGCATCTTTATAGCACCTTATCGTATCAAAACATCTGAGAGCTCTTTAAAGTAATAAAGTGCTAAGTGTAGTGACTGTATTTGAGGACATACATTGCTGAAGGTTAGAATCGAGGGCTTCCTCTTCCTGCATTATAGTTGCTTCCATCTCAGCCTCAGGCTCCATTGTCAC